AGGGGAGGAGGAGAAGCAATAAGAGGAAAATAAATGATAAATATTAGAGTGGAAATCAATGAAATTGAAAATAGGAAATCAGAAGAGAAAATCAACAAAACCAAAAGCTGGTTCTTTGAAAAAAATTGATAAAATCAGTATGCTCCCAGCCAAACTAATTAAGAAAAAAAGAGAAAGAACATAAGTTGTCAATATCAGAAATGCAAGGGGGACATCAGTAGAGCATGGACATTAAAAGAATACATTTGGGGGGGCGCTTGGGTAGTGGCTCATCTGGTTAGACATCCTTGATTTTGGCTCGGGTCACGATCTCAGGGTCATGGAATCAAGCCCTGTGGTGGGCTCTGCACTCAGCAGGAAGTCTGCCTGAGATTCTCTCCCTCTTCTCTTGCCCCTCCACCCACCCCTCTAAATAAATAAATAAATAAATAAATAAATAAATAAATAAATATAAATCTTAAAAAAAAAATACATTTGGTAACCTAGATGAAATGGACCATTTCCTTGAAAGACACAATCTGCCAAAACTCACACAAGAAGTAACTGACAGTCTGAATAGGCCTATATCCATTAAAGAAATCAAATCAACAGTTAATCTTCCAAAACAGAAAGCACCAGGCCACAGGAGTTCACTGGTGAATTCAACCAAACATTTAAGGAAGAAATTATACTAATTCTCTACAGTCTCCTCCAGAAGATAGAAGCTGAAGGAATATTTCCTAACTTATTCTATGAGGCCAGCATTACCCTGATACCAAAACCAGACAAAGACATTACAAGAAAAGAAAACATAGACCAATATCTCTCACGAACATAGATATAAAAATTCTCAACAAATATTAGCAAATCAAATCCAACAATGTATAAAAAGAATTATACATCACAACCAAGTGTGATTTATCCCAGGTAGGCAAGGCTGGTTCAACATTCAAATATCAATTAAGGTAGTCCATCATATCAACAGGCTAAGAACAAAAATCACATGATCATATCAATAGATGCAAAAAAGAAAAAAAACCCACTTGACAAAAATCCAAGACCCATTCATGATAAAAATTTTTAAAAAATTAAAAAAAACTCAGCAAAATTGGAATAGAGGGGTACTTCCTCAACTTGATAAAGAACATCTACAAAAAGCGTACAGTTAACATTATATTTAATGGTAAGAAACTCAAAGCTTTCCTGCTAAGATCAGGAACAAGACAAGGATATCTCTCCCACCATTGCTTATCAGTATCATACTGAAAGTTCTAGCGATTCAATTAAGATAAGAAAAAAGAAATATATTTATACTGATTGGGAAGAAGGGAATCAAACTGTCTTTGTTTACAGATGACACAACTGTCTATGCAGAAAATCTGAAAAAAATCTATACTAATAGCGATTATGGAGGTTTGCAGGATACAAGGTTAATATACAAAAGTCAAGGGGTAAAAGAGGTCAACAGGCAAAAACCTCCCAGTGGTAAGATATATAAGTCTTAGGGACATAATGTATAGCGTGGTGATAATAGTTAATACTATATTGCATATTTGAAAGTTATTAAGACAACAGATCTTAAAAGTTCTCATCATAAGGAAAAAAGTTTGTAACTGTGTGTGGTGATGGATATTAACTAAGCTTATTGTGATAATCATTTCCCAATATATACATATATCAAATCATTATGTTGTATATCTAAAATGAATACAATATATAAATGCCAGTTATATATATGCATATATGTCAGTTATATCTCAAGAAACATCAGTGGCTTTCTTATATACCAGAAATGAACAAGCATAATTTGAAACTTGTAATTTGTAACTTAAAAACATATGGCCATTTACAATAGAAGCACAAAACTATGAAATACTTAAGTATAAATCTAACAAAACATATACGAGATCTACAGAGGAAAACTATAAAACTCTGATGAAAAGTAACAAAGAAGTAAATACAGGGAAAGATATTCCATATTCATGAATAGGACAATGTAGTCAAGGTGTCAGTTCTTCTCAACTTAATCTATAGATACTACACAATCCAAATCAAAATCCCAGCAAGTCATTTTATAGATATCAATAAGCTGATTCTAAAGTTTATATGGAGAGGCAAAAGACCCAGAGGAGCCAGCTCAATACTGAAGGGGAAGAACAAAGTTGGAGGACTGACACTACCTGGCTTCCAGACTTACTACAAAGCTACAGTAATCAGAGCAGTATGATACTGGCACAAGAATGGACAAGTAGATCAATGTAACAAGATAGAGACCTCGGAAATAAATCCACATAAATATCGCCCACCAACTGATATTTGACAAAGATGAATGGAGCAAAGACAGTCTTTTCAACAAATGGTGCTGGAACAATTGGACATCCTCATACAAAAAAAAAAAAAATCTAGACACCTTACACTCTTCACAAAAAAATATTTTGCAAAAAAATCATGAACCTAAATATAAAACATGAAATTAGGGAAGTCCTAGATTACAACAAGAGAAAACCTAGATGAGCTTGGGTATGGCAATGACATTTTATTTACTTTTTTAAAAACATTTTCTTGGAAATTTTCATTATTATGGCTTAAATTTCTTTTTAAAAAATAACTTTCCAGGAGCACCTGGGTGGCTCAGGTGATTAAGCGTCTGACTCTTGATCTCAGCTCAGCGCTTGATCTCAGGGTCGTGAGTTCAAGCCCTGCGTTGGGCTCCACCCTGGGCGTGGAGCCAACTTTAAAAAACAACAACAAAAAAATAACTTTCCATAAATTAAAATTCTCATTTTCACAAATACTATCACGAAATGAAATAGTAACAGCATAACAAAAACCATGATTAACGAGGAAGTTGAATGTTTTATTATTAAACTATTTATCTTCCTACAAGGCTGTTGCTTCATTGTATAAAAACAGCACCAGGGAAGGGCAGTATATTGCAAAATTAAAGACAGTATTGCTCTTTATCTGACACTGTACAACTCACAAGCCTTTCTGCACTGCCAGGATTTCCAATGGGAAGATCATTTGTGCATTTCCACCCCAATCCAGGGCTAGATGTAAGCAAGTTACAATATTCCCTATAGCTTAGGATCACAATGTTATTCTTGAATTATGTCATTTTTATAACTAGTTTTTAACCACAGATAATTTCAGGATTCTGAATATTATAGCAGGAGCCTAGCCTAAAAATCACAGGGTGTTGCAAAAAAGATGCATATCGAGTTTATCTGCAATCACTAGAAAGTTAAGGGGTGTTTTCTTCCATTAGCATTGTTGCAAGTAGTTTCTTTTTCCACTGGTATTGTTAAATGTTGGTATTTTAAATCCTCTATGCGCCTCTAATTTAAGACAACTATACTAGATTAAGGTGCTTTGTACTAGTTTATTTAGGGGTTCCATTTTCACTCCTAATAGATTTTATGTATTTTTCATATGCTTTTTCACTCATTAATTCACCCAGTTCTGAAGGATTATTGAGTGTTATCTTGATCAGCCAACCATTTTCATAACAAGATTTGTTGACAAGTCCTGGATTTTCTGCAAGAGCTTCATTAATTTCAGTTACTTCTGACAAAGGAGGATAGAGTTCACTAACAGCTTTTACACTTTCCAAAGCACCAAACTCATCTTGTTTGTTCAATTTTGTCCCAACTTCAGGCAGACTACAGTAAACAACATCTCCCAAAGCTTCCTGTGCAAAGTTGCTGATTCCCACTGGTCCAATACCATTTTCTGTTGTTATCCAATCATGTTTGTCTGTGAATTTAGGCACGGAGAGCAGAGTGGAGCCTGTGCACGGCTTCCAGATGGTGCCAGAGCCACAGCCCCCATGCTCCACTGCACTGCTCCTAGCAGCATGTTCCCATGTTTGCAGGGGTATGGGGGGTCACCGTCTGGCAATGACATTTTAGATAGAACACTTGAAGGCATGATCCATGAAAGAAAGAATTGGTTAGCTGAACTTTGTTAAAATTAAAAATTTCTTCACTGTGAAAGACAATGAGATTCTTTCAAGAGAATGAGACAATAAACCACAGACAGGGAGAAATTATTCGCAAAAAGACACATCTGATAAAGGGCTGTTATTCAGAATATTCAAAGAACAATTAAATTTCAACAATAACAAAACAAGCAATCTGATTTAAAAACAGGCAAACGATCTGAAAAGAAGATATACAGAGGGCTAGTAAGCATAGGGAAAGAAGCTCAACATTATATGTCATCAGGGAATTGCTAATTAAAACAACAGTGAGACACCACACTACACACCTATTAGAATGGCCAAAATCCCAAACACTGACAACAGCAAATGCTGGTGACAATGTGGAGCAACAGGAATCTGTTCATTGCTGGTGGGAATGCAAAATGGTACGGCCGCTTTGGAAGACAGTTTGGTGGTTTCTTACAAAACTAAACATACTCCCACCATAAGATTCAGCAATTGCGCTCCTTGGAATTTACCCAGAACTGAAAAGTACAGTAGCCCACCCTCATCTGTGGTTTCAGTTACCCACCATCAACCATGGTCTTGAAGCAGACGATCCTCTTCCTGACGTATTGTCAGAAGGTCAGTGCAGTGGTAGTCTAACTCTATACCAGAATGCCTACGTCATTCATCTCACTTTGTCTCATTACATAGGCATTTTATCATCTCACACCATCACAAGGAGGATGAATATGGTGCACAAAGATATTTTGAGAAAGAGACCATATTCACATAACTTTTATTACAGGGTATTGTTATAATAGTTGTATTTTATTATTAGTTATTATTGTTAATCTCTTACAATGCCACATTGATAAATTAAACATGATCATAGGTATGGATGTACAGGAAAGAACATAGTGTATCTAGGACTCAGTACACTATCTGTGGTTTCAGGCATCCACTGGGGATCTTGGAGCATGTCCCCCATGGATAAGGGAAGACTACTGTATGTCCACACGAGAATCTGCACATGTGTTTAAAAGTTTTATTCATAATTGCCCACACTTGGAGGCAACCCAAAATGTCCTTCAGTAGGTGAGTAGATAAATAAACCATGGTACATTCAGACGATGGAGTATTACTCAGAGCCAAAAAGGAATGAGCCATGGAAAGTCCTGGAGGAACCTTAAGTGCATACTAGTAAGGGAAAGAAGCTAATCTTGAAAGACTGCATAGTGTATGATTCCAACTACATGACATCCTGGAAAAGACAAAACCGTGGAGACAGTAAAAAAAAAATCAGTGGTTGCCAGAGGTTGTGGGGAGGGAGGATGAGTCGGTGAGGTGAAGGATTCTTAGGGCATGAAACTACTCTATATATTACAATAGTGGATACTTGTCATAATACCTTTGTCAAAACCCATAGAATGTACAACACCAAGTCAAATCTTAATGTAAACTATGGACTTTGAATGATACTGATGTGTCAGTGTGGATTCATCGATTGTAATGAATGGACTCTGGTGGGGGATGTTGATAATATGGGAGGCCATGCATGTGTAGAGGAGGGGTATATGGGAAACCTCTGTACTTTCCATTCCATTTTGCTGTGAACCTAAAGCTGCTCTAAAAAATAAACCTATTAATTAAAAAAATCTCTTTTCTGTCATTTTAGCGGTGTTGGGGGAGAGAGAAAACGTAGATACATCCAGACATCTTAGATGTCTAAATCAATATAATACATTGAAATAGAGAAGTGTGTTGAAGCCTATGGTTGGTGAGGAACACTAAGAAGAAGCTGGTTACTTTTGGTCCTGAGGAAATAATTAGTGCTCTTGGTGCAAACTGAAAGCAAAGGAAGAGGTACTGAGTAAAAAGGGTCGAATGGTTTATTTAAGAAGCATAAATATCCTGGCAGTGCCAGATGCTGAGTAATGGGGAACCATTTTTAGGTAGACTTCAAGCAGTAAGTAGGCTTTCTCATACAGCCAGAGTCCTGAACCAGAAGGGAGAACATGGCCAATGTATAAGCAACAGAGGCAGAGATCTCAAGGTAGAGAAAGAAAGCGGCGCACGTTATGAGCCCATCTCTGCTGGGTCCCAGGTCCACAGAATCCCTGCATTTGGGTGTATAACCACCAGCCGGAAGTGCAGTCTTCCTGCAAATACAGAAAGACCTCAGAGTCAGAAATAAAATACCCCCCACCCCCCAAGTGGAGCTCCTAGTCAGCTGCCAGTGCTTGATACTTTAAACAAGAATGGCTAGCAAAAGGATAGATGCATAGTTCAATTAAATATAATGGAGAGTCCAGAAATACATCTTTAAATTTATGGTCAGTTAATTTTTGGCAAGACACAACCCAATGGGAAAAGAATAGTTAGTCTTTTCAACAAATTGTCCATATTCACAAGCACACTAATGAAATCATACCCCTTCATCTTGCCACACACAAAGATAAACTAAAAATAAATCATAGAGCTAAGTGTAAGGGCTAAATTTAAAATTTTTAAAGAAAATATAGGAGTCAATTTTCATGACTTTGGGTCAGGCAAAGCCTTCTTAGATATGACAACAAAAGGAAAAACAACAAAATGATCAATAAATTGGACTTCATCAAAGTTAAAACATGTAGGGGCATCAAAGAATACCTTTGAAAAAATGAAAAGACAACACACTCCCAAGAATGGAAGATATTTGCAAACCATATTTCTGATAAGGCACCTGTATCTAGAATATATAAACAACTCTTAGAACTCAGTAATAAAAAAATAAATAATCCAATTTTAAAATGGGCAAAATATTTGAAGAGACATTTCTCCAAAGAAGATATAAAGATGGCCAATAACCACGTACGTGCAAAGAGGCTAACATCATTAGTTCTTAGGGAAAAGTAAATCAAAACCACAATGATAACACTTCACACCTACTAGGATGGTTATAATAAAAAAGATGGATAGTCACAAGCATTGATGAGGATGTAGAGAAATTGGGGCCCTCATATATTGCTGGTGGGAATGCAAAAATGATGCAGTTGCTTTGGAAAACAGCCTGGCAGTTCCTCCAGAGGTTAAACATAGAGTTATCATTTGAACCAGCAATTCCACTACTGGGCATATACCCAAGAGAAATGAAATCATACGTCCAAACAAAAACTTGTTCATGAATGCTTATAGCAGTATTGTGGGGCTATTATGAAATAGCCCCAAAGTAGAAATAACCCAAATATTCATCAACTGATGGATAAACAGGATAAGTAAAATGGGGTAAATCTACACAAAATTATTTGACAATAAAAAGGAATGATATACTGACACATGCTGCGACATGGATGAACCTTTAAAACATTACGCTAAGTAAAAGAAGCCAGTCACCAAAAGCTGTATATTGTATGACTATATGAAATGTCCAGAAGAGGCAAGCCTATAGACATAAGAACTAGATTAGTGATTGCCCCAGGTGGGCAACTGGGAGGGGATTAAAAAAATGGGAATGATCACCAAAGGGAACAGAGTTTCTCTTGGGGTGAAAATTAAAATGTTCTAAAATTGTGGTGATGTTTGGGGGCGCCTGAATGGCTCAGTCGGTTAAGCGTCTGTCTTCAGCTCAGGTCATGATGGTCCTGGGATCAAGCCCCGAATCGGGCTCCCTGCTCAGTGGGGAGTCTGCATCTCCCTCTCCCCCTGCTCGTGCTCTCTCTCCCTCTCGCTCATTCTTTCTCAAATAAATAAATAAAATCTTTAAAAAAATAAGGGCACCTGGGTGGCTCAGTTGGTTAAGCGACTGCCTTCGGCTCAGGTCATGATCCTGGAGTCCCGGGATCGAGTCCCGCATCGGGCGGGGAGTCTGCTTCTCCCTCTGACCCTCTTCCCTCTCGTGCTCTCTGTCTCTCACTCTCTCTCTCTCAAATAAATAAATAAAATCTTTAAAAAAAAAGAAAATAAAATTGTGGGGTTGTTTGTGCAACTCCTAATATCCTAAAAACTGTTTAATTTTACACTTTAAATGGGTGAATTTTATGGATTTGTGTGAATTTTATTTCATTAAATCTACTTTTAAAAAAGATTTTATTTTTAAGTAATCTCGATATCCAACGTGGGCTTGAACTCACAACCCTGAGATCAAGAGTCTCATGTTCCACCAACTGAGGAAGCCAGGCGTCCCTAAAGCTACTTAAAAAAAAAAAAAAAAAAGATGGTTCGAGTAATTTGAGGAAAGCTTCCAACATGAAAGAGAAAGAAGAAAACAAAGAAACAAGTAGCAAAAGTGATAGCAAAAAGGCACCCAGAGACAATTTGGAAAAAAACAGAATAACCTCAAAATAATAAGACGGCTAATAAACACAAATACTGAAGACATTAAACAAGAAGAGATTGGTTAGAGAATAAGAATGAGCTCTTGGGAATTAAAGATATTGCTTGGGGAGGCTGCCTCTCCCTCTGCCTACAGGTCCCGCTGTTTATGCTCTCTCTCTCTGACAAATAAATAAATAATATCTTTAAAAAAAAAGATATTGCTTGCTAGCCCCCTAAGAGTCAACGAAATCTTCCAGAAAGTGGAATAAACAAAACATGGATCATAGCATACAACTTAAGAATATAAACTTAAGAAAATTGGAAGAGCAATTGAGGAGATCCAACATATAGGAGTTAGAGAACAGAGCGAATAAAAGTTCAAAGTAATGCAAGAAAATTTCCCAGAACTGAAGGGCATGAGCCTCTAGGTTGGAAGCTACAACGTGGGCGCCTGGGTGGCTCAATCGTTAAGCGTCTGCCTTCGGCTCAGGTCATGATCCCAGGGTCCTGGGATCGAGGCCCGCATCGGGCTCCCTGCTCAGCGGGGGGCCTGCTTCTCCCTCTCCCACTCCCCCTGCTTGTGTTCCCTCTCTCGCTGTCTCTCTGTCAAATAAATAAATACAATCTTTAAAAAAAAATGAAAGCTACAATGTGTTCAGGATAATACATGAAAAACAATGTATATCAAGGAACATAATCATGAAATGTAGAACACTGGGCATGTAGAGATGATCCTAAATGCTTGGAGAGAAAGAAAAAAAAAAAGGCCACTCCTACAGGACTGAGAATGGGAATAGCATTAGACTTCTGACAGTAACACTAGAAGCAGGGAAACAAAGGGCTAATGCCCTCCAAATGCATGTGAATTCTCATCCTAGAATTTTATGCATACCCATATTTTCAACCAAGTAGGAAAGGGAATTTTCAGACAAACAAGGACTCCAAATTGTTTCTAGGTACAAATCAAGAAAAAGGAAGATACAGCTTTTGGCAAAAATAGGATCCAACACAGGAAAGTGACAGAGAATTCCCATGATGAGCTGTTTGTCAGGTTTGGAGGGTGGCCAGTCCAGACTGGGAGGAGGTGGACAAAGCATTTGTGCTCCTGGAAAACAGTCTGGCATTTGACAGATCCATTGCAGCAATTGGAAGGGAAGGAGGGGAGGATGGGAAGGAGGAAGGGAGCGAGGGAGGGAGGAGGAAAGGATGGATGGACAGACAAAAACACCTGTAGGCTCAAAGAAAACAATGCAAATGAAAAAGTGAGGCAGTTAGTAAGCCTAAGAGGAAAAAAATTACATAAAAAGAGAAACATAATCACAATTATAGTATTTGGCTCAAAGAGTACTTAGCATAGTCTCAGTAATATTTATAGTGACAATTGATTTAACAAAAAATTGTGGTAGAACTCTATTTGGAAACAGAGTTTGGGAAGGGGTCTATAAGAGAATGACCATAACATGTTATTGATACAACATATTTGAAATAAGTAAGTCAAGAAATATCATTAGAAGCTTATTACTAACGATGGAAATACTGGAAGAAATAACGTAGAAAGACACGAAAGTTGGTTGTGTTTGGGGAGTGGGAAATGGCAAGAGATGGACAGAGACTTCTTTTTTTGGTAATATAACTTTAAAAACTATATACATTTATTATGTTTATAAAATTTAAAATTGGCTTTAAGCAACAAAGAAAAGACTTTACCAATCATGTAAACCAGTGGTCTTAAAACTTTTTTTGGTTAGAATGCTTTTTTGGGAAATCTTATGCCAAATGAAAGCACAGCTAATATATGAGAGAAGCAAGGGCAGGGCCCTTTTACACCAGCAGCCTCTGAGACAGCTCTTAGAAGTCACTAATTCCTAAGAATAACTTAAAAGCCAGACTCTCTCTGACCCGTGTAACTAACAAATCTGACAGAAGTTCTAACTTACCCTGTTATATAAAGCTGGGCTTAGAATCGAGGCCCTGGATTCCCTGCTCAGGACTCTTTCTCTTATAAGGTCCTGCTTCAAGAATTTAAAAACATAAGGGACAGAGGCATTACTGAAGGCCGGTTCATTTTTGTGGGCAGGGAAAATGTGGACACCTTTGTTCATATCGGTGTAGGAGTTAGGGGCCAGTGCAAAGTTAGGGGCCAGAGTTGAAGCTTTCGCGGAGGTAAGAGGTAATAGGGTCAAAGGAGAAGGGAAGTTAAAAGGCTGGCATTATTATGCTAAGAGTGGCAACCAGGTATTATTCTCTCAATGCCTAGTTTGGTCAATCAATAAGACCTACTCCAAGCACTGAGTTGGATTCTGGGCCAAGTCTGGGTTCAGCTGGAAGGTGTTTCTTGATTGAATGGCGACGTCTGGCCAGACAGGTGCGAGGCTGCTGTGGTAGACACGCTGCATGTCTCCTATCCTTATCTTACTGCCATAAGCTACCATGATCCTTTTGGAGACATTAGTCACCAGCCTGAAGAAAAGGAAACTGATGATTTTAGGAAATACCATGTAGTCAGAGCAGTTAAGCAGGAAGAGTCAATGATGCTGCTGAACCAAAGGCAGTTTTCGGATGCACCGAAGATCTTCAGTTGACTCTACTTCTTGAAGAATAGTGTGGTCTCTCCATTGTCCAAGCGTAAATGATGCATAAGAGATGAAGGCTAGCTTATACTTATCTTAAAATTCAGCAAGGGGGGGGCTGGGTGGCACATCAGGCTCTGTGCTCAGTGTGGAGTCTGTTTGAGATTCTCTCCTTCTCCTTCTCCCTCTCCCCCTCCCCTGGCTTGCACTCTCTCTGTCTCTAAAATAAATAAACAAAACCTTTAAAAAAAAATTCAGCAAGATGTTTGTCAGTGCAAGAATTACTGCAAAAGTAGAGAACTATTCTCTCAGATCTGAGCTATCCATTGTGGTAGCCATTAACCACGTGTAGCTGCTGAGCACATGAAATGAGGCTGATGTGACTGAGGAATTGAATTTTGAGTTTTAATTAGTTAACACTGAAGCTGAAATTGAAACCCTCTTCCACTTTCAGATGGAGTAGATGTACTTTTCCCTATTCCTCCCGTTAAGTACAACCAAAACTCTTAGACATTATATATAAAACAAAAAGCACTGAAAGGTGGAGAGGGGGAAGCAGAGCAGCTAGGGACATCAGTACCCAAGGAATGACATAGTAGTGAGTTCTCTGGGTTTTCTTTCTGCCTCCATGTTCCAGACTTGGAGCTAGAAGCCATCAGCCTGGAAATGCCAACAAGCACAGACAAGAAGAGTCCCAACAAAAGCCTGCTCTCTCTAGCTAGAGGAAGAAGAAAGGGGTAGCAAGACAGCTTTTAGACCATAACTGCTCTACTCTAGCCACGTGCCACAGAGAAAACTGTAGCACCACACATCATGTAAACCAGTGGTCTTAAAACTTTTTTTGGTTAGAATGCTTTTTTGGGAAATCTTATGCCAAATGAAAGCACAGCTAATATATGAGAGAAGCAAGGGCAGGGCGCTCTTACACCAGCAGCCTCTGAGACAGCTCTTAGAAGCTAACACAGTCATCCTAAAATGCCATGCCAGCAAAGGCAAAGTGGGAGCCTAGAATTCTACCCTTGCAGGGCTGAAAGGAGGTTTTTCAACATTTCTGCTGGGGTGATTTCAGAGAACTCCAAGTAGGAAGCTGGGATTTTCATCCCGATTGGCTGGTGATGCCTTTCCCAACTTGGCAGTCTAAGTGGAAAATATGGGGAACCTGGACTTCGGTATCCGATACCTGACAGTAATGAGGCATCCCTCTCTCCCCATCACTTGGGTGGTGTCAGAGGAGGCCTCATGCAGAGTCAGGACCGCTCAGTGGTAATGAGGCCACTCCAACATGATGTCAGTGGACACAACTTGGACAGCAGGTACTTCATCCCTGCTCAGCAGTACTAAGGAAACGTCCCTGTCCCTGTGTATCAAAAGAGGCTGAGTGGGGACTTCTACCTGCACCAGGCAATAATGAGGCAGTATGTCCCTCTTCCCTTGCCAGAGCAATGCCAGCGACAGCCAGCTAAAACAGAAGATCCGAAGTCTCAGAAGTAATGCAAAATGTCCAAGTTTCAACTGAGGATCACACCAAGAATCAGGAAGATCTTTAAAAGAAATCAATAGACAACAAAATGCTGAGATGTTAGACTTACCTAAGATTTTAAACCATAATAAATGCTTCAAGGAGCAACTGTGCTCTTAAAAAAATGAAGATAGAAAGCTTCAGCAAAGAAGTAGAAGATATAAAGAAGAATCAAATGGAATTTTGTGAACCCCAAAATACAATAACTGAAATACAAAGCTCCATGGGTGGGCTCAAGAGTAGAAAAGAGGGGGGACAGAGGAAAGAATCTGTGAACTAAAAGAACAATAGAAATTACCCATCCTGAGCAGCACAGAGAAAACGGATGGAAGCGGTGGGTAGGAGATGAGCAGAGCCTCAGGGATAACAAAAGATGTAATACTTGCATCTTTGGAGTACTGGACGGAGAAGAGAAACAGGGCAGGGATGAAAAAGCACTCAATGAAAAATAATGGCTGAAAACTTCTCCAATTTGGCAAGAGAAGTGAACCTACATAGTCAAGAATCTGAGTGAACCATAAACAGGGTAAACCTAAAGAAATCCAAGCCAGCACACAGCATAATTAAACTTCTGAAAAGCAATCAAAGAAAATATCTTAAAAGCCACCGGAGAAAGACTAGAGGAAAAATAATTAGAATGACAACAGATTCTCATCAGAGACCATGGAGGCTGGATGGAAGTGGCATAATATTTCTCAAGGGCTGAAAGTATCAATCTAGAATACTACACCCAAATAGGATTATCCCCCCAAAAACTATACCTAAAATATCTTTCAGGGGAAAGGAAGACATTCTCAGATGAAGGAAACCTAAGAGAATTTGTCACCAGTTGACCTTTCCTAAAAGAATGGATAAAGGGCATTTTCTTTTTTCTTTTTCTTGGGGGGAGATTTTTTTTTAATTAACATATAATGTATTATTTGTTTCAGGGGTACAGGTCTGTGATTCATCAGTCTTACACAATTCACAGCACTCACCATAGCACATCCCTCCCCAATGTCCATCACCCAGCCACCCCATCCCTCCCACCCCCCTCCACTCCAGCAACCCTCAGTTTGTTTCCTGAGATTAAGAGTCTCTTATGGTTTGTCTCCCTCTCTGGTTTCGTCTTGTTTCATTTTTCCCTCCCTTCCCCTATGATCCTCTGTCTTGTTTCTCAAATTCCACATATTAGTGAGCTCATATAACTGTCTTTCTCTGATTGACTTATTTCGCTTAGCATAACACCCTCTAGTTCCATCCATGTCATTGCAAATGGCAAGATTTTGGGGTTTTTTTGGATGGCTGCATAATATTCCATTGTATATATATACCACTTCTTTATCCATTCATCTGTTGATGGACATCTTGGCTCTTTCCACAGTTTGGCTATTGTGGACATTGCTGCTATAAACATCGGGGTGCATGACCCCTTCAGATCACTACATTTGTATCATTGGGGTAAATACCCAGTAGTGCAATTGCTGGGTTGTAGGGTAGCTCTATTTTCAACTTCTTGAGGAAACTCCATACTGTTTTCCATATGGTTGCACCAGCTTGCATTCCCACCAACAGTGTAGGAGGGTTCCCCTTTCTCCGCATCCTCGCCAACCTCTGTTGTTTCCTGACTCGTTAATTTTAGTCATTCTGACTGGTGTGAGGTGGTATCTCATTGAGGCTTTGATTTGGATTTCCCTGATGCTCAGTGATGTTGAGCACTTTTTCATGTGTCTGTTGGCCATTTGGATGTCTTCTTTGCAGAAATGACTGCTCATGTCTTCTGCCCATTTCTTGACTGGATTATTTGTTCATTTGCTTTATTCTTTCCATCCTTTTTCATTTGTTCTTTGGGTGTTGAGTTTAATAAGTTTAAAGGGCATTTTCTAAAAAGATAGGAAAAGATAAAAATCCTAAGAATATCAGGAAGAACGAGTATGGTGAGCAAAACTATCAGTAAATACAGTGGGCTCTCCTTTTCCTCTTGAGTTTTCTAAAGTAATAATGGGAACAAAAATTAGAACACTGTCTGATGGGAGTTGCAAAAGAAAAACAAAAGTTGCCATTCAAGCTGGTTTTCTCCCTTTAACAGTGGGCCATATGTATTTCATCCCAGTGTTCAATAACAATAAAATGTTTCTTCCTTTCTACAATGAATAAGCACATTTTGTCCACTAAGTTTAAGCTGCCACTTTTGGAAATGGAAAATTCTCTTACTAAGGAAAAGTTCTTTACTGATGGAAAAGAATATAATTACTGGTTAATAATACCAGCATAGTCCTACTTACAAATATGCACTTTAATAGCAACGATCTTTTATTATGCTGAATTTTGCCAGCGGAAATAAAATATTAGCTAAGTACTGGGTTTTAAAGTTCATAAGTAGAATCTGGAGGAAGTATTACGAGTTTTTAAACTCCATTTAAAAAATTTGCAGTGCGCCTGGGTGGCTCAGTTGGTTAAACCGCTGCCTTCAGCTCAGGTCATGATCCCAGGGTCCTGGGATCGAGCCCCGCATCGGGCTCCCTGCTCATGGAGGAAGCCTGCTTCTCCCTCTGCCTGCCGCTCCCCCTGCTTGTGCTCTCTCCCTCTCTCTCTCTCGCTCTCTCTGTGTGTCAAATAAATAAATAAAATCTTTAAAAAAAAAAAAAATTTGCAACTGAGGGCGCCTGGGTGGCCCAGTCGGTTAAGCGTCTGCCTTTGGCTCAGGTCATGATCCTGGGGTCCTGGGATCAAGCCCCACATCCGGCTCCCTGCTCAGCGGGGAGTCTGCTTCTCCCTCTCCCTATGCCACTCCTCCCTGCCTGTGCTCTCTCTCAAAAAAATAAAAATCTTAAAAAAATTTTTTTGCAACTGAATAATGGGTCAGAGCATAGGAGGTTCAGAGGAAGCCAGCCATGCTGGCTACTGTTTTTCTCTTCGAGATTTGCATTTAGATTTATCAAGGGACACATACATGCCAAGTGCGAAGAAGGAAACTTCGAAGGAATGTAGTAAGCATTTGTTTCCTCAACGCGCTCCAATCACACCTAGCAATGACCACAGACAGGTTGAAGTTAGGCCTGGCTGTGCCCTTGCAACGTTCTGAGCAGAGTATTTGCCTCCTATGGAATCTGTCAAAACACTGAAGTGTCTGTTCTCAGTCATCTGTTGTCTGGCCATCGGCCCAGTTAAACAATTCACTTTAGCTGAGCAGGAAGAGAAGTCCAAGAGTAGGAAGTGAATGGAAATCTTTCAGGATTCTCTTAGGTACGAACACCCAAATGATGCATAAAATTAGAACCATTACTTTTTAAGGATATGCACATGAATATTAAGCATACACAAAGATGCTCAACCTCTTTCAAAATAAGAGGAATGTCAAAGC